TGTAGTCATGTTTTTTTTATAACCATTTAAAGTTCAAATTTCGACAAAATTTACTTAATTGAAAATTTACGAATTATTTAGTTGTTAAAAATTTATAAAACGTTTACATTTTATAAATAAGGATTGAACATTTAAAACAAGGTCCCACGTAAGTAGGTAATTCTGCTGCAAAAAAATCTAAAAACTATACAAATACAGTTTTTTTTTTATTTTAAGTTCAAATTTGGATGAAATTACATTATAAATAATCAAGAATAACAATTTCAGTGGCTTGGTGAGACGCGGTCTAAAAACACGTGTTGCAACCCTACCCACTTCTAAACCTACAAACAAATACACAAAAATAACCCCTACCGTACCACTCCACACCCAATGGCCTATGTTTCCGCGGGTTCCCCTTACGTAAAAAAAAAAAAAATAACAATCTCAGTCTCAGTTATAGTTTTAATTTAAAAAATACTATACTATTTGTGGGTACTTAAATTTCTAGAGTATACTTTATATTCTAATATTAATAGTTAATGTCATTAATGACTTATATTAATACTTAATAATAAATTGTATATATACCTGTTGTGAATGACTGAGTGAGTCGAGTACATAATGAATCTGATTTGATAGATATGATCAATATATTTTTTTTTTTTGAATAATAACAATAGAATTAAATAGAATAACATATCATAGACCGACAACCCGTGTCCACTCAGAATTGTTTTTCGTATACAATATTACATTATTGAATTCAAATTTAATAATATCATCCATTACAGTAACCCACTTGTAACTTACGGTACAGTAGAGTGACATAAACTAACCCGTTTTTTAAATTTTGACCTGTAAAGTAATCTTTAACTTACCGATATTAGTTGGACTTATTACAAATGATTAATTGACCCTAAATCACACCTAATTGAGTAAAAATCAATGTAAAATAAAATATTATTATTTTAAGACGTAGAAATGAATAACTCCATATTTATTGACCGATTTTTTTTTCTTTTTTGAACCTGTTTTATACAGAAAACAGATTAGGTATCACTATTTTAGATAAAAGTAGCTATTTTTATTTTAAAAATGAAAAAATACACAAACAAAAGTAAAAGATTTAAGCGTCAAAACGATTACCAGATATTAATTTTGATATTATAAATGTATAATGATATCTGTGGTTATTTACGTGATAACTATTAACTTGTGTTTAACAATCATCAATATTATAATATATTCAGTTAAAAAACTTTAGCGACGAATGGACAGACAAGCATAAATGTATTATATTCTAATATCTATACAATGCACGTGTACTGTGTGCCTGTGTACGGAAACTTAAATTATCACTCAGTTCTATTTTAAACGCATAATTGCGTTTTATATATTTTTGTTAATGACTAATGTTGAATAACGAATACATACGTATGCATACCGCGGTTTCGTAGCCTAACTGAACTCACGATGTAGGAATTTTAACTTTAATCTGAGTTCGTTAATTTGTTTTTCTGGTYGAATTTTTTATGGTATGGTCAATGGCGTAGGTACTAACTGTGTTAGTATTACTCATAAAATATTAATTTTTTTCCAAATTGTTGTATGTTGTCCATTGAATTATTTTGCTACTTGTTCTGTAAAATAAATAATTAAATATAATTAAATACATTTTTTTTTTTTTACATGCATTATGGAACTCAAGAACTTTCTTAGTTTAATATGTTATGGCAAGATCACTATCTTGAACTGAAGTGAGTGAAGAAAATAAATACGAGTGTGTAATATATCGATTTATATAATATGTAATTTTTGAATATATTTATATCTAGCTGTTAGTTTGTTGCGGAGTTTTTACTATTTGGTTAAATATTGTATTATAAATTTATAAACATAATATTTAATATGGTTTTTGTTACCTATGAATATTGATCATTAATTATTAAATTACTCTTAGCTATTTTCTTTTCTGGTTGCCCTTGATTATACAATTATACGCATGTTTAGAGAGGGGAGAGAGCTATGGAATACATACGTCCGATTAAGTTAAAATACTAAAAATGGGCAGTGCTTCCCCGCTTTACCAAATTTCTTTATTGTATTTTTGCATAAAATATATTTTATTTATAAGGGATCAACAGTTTGAATGAATTTAGTTTGTTAGTTTTCAGCTGTTACTGTCGTACATTATAATTTTTAACTAACATCTTAGTTTTAACAAATTACACTAAACCTAACATTAATAATGGAAACAGGTGTAGCAGAATCGTTTAGAAATGGGATAGTTTTAATTACAGGAAGCACTGGATTTTTGGGGAAAATACTCACCGAAAAGTTACTCAGATCTTGTCCTGTCAAAAACATTGTGGTGCTTGTCAGAAGTAAGAAAGAACTGACTGCAAGTCAAAGGGTTGAAAAAATATACAAACAAACTGTAAGTATAACGTTGCTTCTCGAGTGTAGTTTTGATGATTTCGTTTAAATTATCGATTTAAATTTATTTCGAGTTTTTTCAAACAAATAGATAAGTATTGAAAATAACTGTCATTAATTAGACTATAAATATCTTAAATTAGAATATTTCATACAAAGTATTTAATAACTGTCAACCACTATCAGTAAAAAAAAAAATTTAAAATAATATTGTCAATACTTACATACAAGGTAGAGTAACTAATATAACTATTAGGTGCGGGGACTGTCCAACAGTGTACAATTATTGAGGTATCATCATTTTTAATTTAAACATTTTAAATATTAATAATTACTAAAAAAATGATTTAATGCACAAAGGAACGAACATGATAAATTTTATGAGAAAGTTGACTATAAATTTAACGTATTTAAACACAAAACAAAACATATTTAATGATACTGAAATTTATCTTATCATAAAAAAATATATTTCGTTATTAAAATGTTGTGATATTTTTTATATAATTAGAATATACAGTATGATTATCAGAAATATCCAAATGTTTTCAATGTTACGTATATTCAGAAAGTATTATTTCATAATAAATCTTATTGAAAACCATATGTTAAAAATATGATAGGTTTAGGAAAATTTAAAGTTATTATTTATTGTTTTTTGATTGTAATTAAAAAAACAGTCAGAATTTTTTTTATTGAACTACTTTGAATATTAACAATTTAATTTAATAACTAAATATTAAATGGTTTTGCAATACACGTATGGAAACTTCAGAAATAACAATCTACTTGAAAACTTGTACTGCSTTCATAAGTGAAACTACGATCAAATTTTATTTTGTGTGTTGGTGGGTGGGGACTCCCCATATATTTTTAAATGTATTGAGCTGGACTGAACCAAACCGTTACTTAATTTTATATCATAAGACTGGACCAAATCAGACCATGGTCTGGTCCGGTCCGGACCGGACTGATATAAAACCGGACCATGCAGAGCACTAGTGGGGAGAGGTTCTTCGTCTTCAACTATATTGTTGTGCTTATCACTGTCTTTCTAATATTTTTATTGGTAATTTCATAAAATAGTTTTAAATTTATATTGATGGATTGTGGACACATATTTTCAACATAAAAAATGATCAATTATAAATTACGCACCTAAATATATCTTACATTCAACAAAAATAAAAAATATTTATACTCATATTTAAGTTTAAAAAATAATATTAATTTTTTTACAGCTATTTGATAGAATTCGTCAAGAAAAACCAGATTTTACAAGTTTCATTAAAATTATTGAAGGTAATTTAGAGGAATCATCAATGGGATTATCGTTAAATGACCATGACTGGTTGATAGAAAATGTTAACTTCGTGTTTCATTGCGCTGCAACGGTAAAATTCAACGAGCCTCTGGAGTTAGCATCAAAAATAAATATTCAAGGGACCGATAATTTGTTAAAATTATCGTCAAACATGAAAAATCTGAAGGTAATAATTAAAAGAAAAAATGTATGACGAAATAAAACGAGGTATACTCGACGAGTTTTTATAAAAATATATTTCTATAATTAGTTTGCCGAATTCTTAAGTTTTATTTGATAACTTTCATAAATACATAACAGCATAAAGCAGGAATGGGCGATCGGTGGCCGGAGTTCCTTTTTTTATCTGGCCCTTGCAACATTTTCAAATTATTTCTAACAGTTTTAACTTTTATCCATATTAATAAATTACGTTTTTCGTAAATAATAAATTCGTACAATAATTCTATAACAGTAGAAATTTAAAAGCAAGATATATCTCTTTAATTAGAAATAAATGAGTTGCAAACAAATTTATTTTTATCTACAAAAAAAGATTAACGCGTACTTTAGGAAAAATTTAACCGTTAAAAAATGTTTTATTTTACAATGTTTTATTAATTTTCGAATTTTCGCATTAAATATGTAATCCATATATGGTCTGGATCGATAGATTTTAAAGTTCTCAAAAAGGACTTATAGAAACTTTGATTTTCCTATCCCTGGTATAAGGAAATCTATTTCTGTAAATTAAAAAAATTTTAACTGAAATATTTAAGAAACGGTTTGATATCGAAGGGTTTTGTGCACGTATCGACCGCTTATTCACACTGTCCGAGGAAAGAAATCAAAGAAGAATTCTATGAGGTCCCGGTCACAGTTACTGAGCTGAAAAATATGTTGGTTGACAAAGTACCAACTTCTAAGTAAATATTATAACATTTTTTCTGATTGATAAAAATTTTGTTAACACTTTTTATAAAATCACTTACATGAATGATAGAATTATAGAAGATTGGCCTAACACGTACACTTTTACAAAAGCAGTCACGGAAAASATGATACTGACAAATGAGAATAGATTGCCGATATCAATATTTCGTCCTTCGATCAGTAAGATTAAAAGTTTTGTTTTATCAACGTTTTAATGCTGTTTTATACAAATATAAATACCTGAAAAAATTAATTTTGAAAAACGGGAATTTTATAAACTTAATAACGTTATAGTCGGATGTACGAAATCCGAACCAGAACCTGGATGGTTAGAAAACATGAACGGACCAACAGGTATGATTACTGGAACCATGGTTGGATTTTTAAGGACAGCACCAAACATCGGGAGCAATATAACAGATATTATCCCTGCCGATTACACCGTCAACGCATTGATAAGCGTCATGTGGGACACAGTCAATCGGTATGCAATGACATAAAAAGAAAAATATTCATTGTGTGTACACGAAGTGCTCAAAATAATATTACAATAATTATTTTGTTAATTTTTAGATACAAACAGTCGAATGGAGTGCACAAGGTGCCGAAAATATATAATTACGTTTCTTGTGTCGAAAGCCCTTTGACATGGAGTAGATATATCAGAGAAATGCACGATCAATATTATGTGGCTCCTCCTTTGCAAACGATGTGGTACGGTTTTTACATCTTGTATACGAATTTAATCGTCGGAAATATTTTGAGATTTTTCTTGCACCGAATACCTGGTGCAATTATTGATTTTATGTTGATAATAAGCGGTAAATCTCCCAAGTAAGTGCTTGTATTCATACGTGTATAATGTATATTTATTATATAAGTTCGAATAATATATTATATTACCATGTTATATTTTCTTATAGTAGGTATAGTAACACTAAATTGCATGGCTTATATAATTTGTTATTAAAGTCTGAAATAATTTATACTTATGTTATTTAATTGATCTAATACAATTACTTAATTACCATTTAAAGGCCAACATTTTATAATTCTATGATAAAAAATTGTTTATCAGAATTAAAAATGTATTTACACACAATTTATTGCTGGTTCGAGTTTTGCATGTAGTACTGTTGAAATAATTGTATAGTAATTGCTTACAAGAGACTGTAGGAGTAAATTCTGTGTCATTATATAAAAGTAGACGAGTAGTAGTTCTGTGTGATTAACAAAGATGGGCAAGTTAATGAAAATAATTAACTCAAGTTAAGTTAAATTAGGAGGAAACATGACCGATAAGTTAAAAATTAACAGTTAATAAATTATAAATTTAACTCCATAACTTAACAGTTAATATGGAAAAACAATTTTATTCAGTTTAAAAAAAAATATCTATTTTTTAAAATTAGTATGTAAATCACATAAAGAGTGATTGTGTCTATCTATCATATCAGTATACAAAATTATTTTATCAAAAAAAAGAACAGACAAACAGACATATTTGTTATTATAGTACCTATTGGATTATATTTATTGTATATTAATATTTACGTATAAACAAACAATTTCCAAATGTTTTTAACTTGGATGAACTTAACTGAGAAAATATAAGTTATTTCAACTTTTAATTAAACTAGTTAAATTCGTAAGTTGATTAAAAAATAAACTAACTAGTTTATGCCCATATTTGGTGATTAATATTCTAAAATGCATCAGTAAGTTATTCTTTGTGTTTTTATATTTTATATTTATGGTAGTTTATAAACAGATTAATCCAAAATACGGGCACTTGTACATGATTTATACTTAAGATATATAGATATATAATATTTCGTTAAGGTRTATGCTATAAAGATTTGTTAAATTTGAATTTCAAATATGTTTCTATTGTTAATACAGTTTCTTTATTTCGAGTATTTAGTTGTTCATAAAGTATCTATGTGAGAGGTGGGTGTGACCTATTCTTAGTCGGGTTATTATTATTTAATAATTAGTTTATCTTATTTTATAATATTGTTTTATGTATATTTAGTTAATATTCAATAATAAATGTACCTATTATGTTTTATATACAGAATGTTAAGAACGTATACAAAAACAGAAAATATGATCGATTTACTTTATGAGTTCTCTATGAGACAATGGAAATTCGACAATAAAAATACAAGGCGATTGTGGTTGTCACTAAGTAAAGATGATCGCAATACATTCCATTTCAGCTTAAAATCATTTGATTGGAAGTCGTATATAGAAAGCTATTACTACGGTATCAGAAAACACATACTTCACGAAGACCTAAGCAACGTTGAAAAGGCGTTATCGAAAAATAAAAAGTAAGATAATTTTATTAATTGAAACAAAATTCCAAAACTATTATATAGTTGTTTACGAATTTTTATTTGGTTATATATTTTTAGGTTATTGAGGTTGCATCAGTTGTGTGTTTTTATAGTTATCTATTTAATACTCCATTTGTGTTGGATGTTTATAAAGTATTTGTTTTGAATGACTCGTAATTATAACAACTTTATTTATTATTGTACTTAAAACGTATTCTTATTGTAGCTAAATAAATTATGCTATTTAATTATTTTATATAAAATCTAAAGAGTATTTATAGTGAGTTTTGTATTATGACAAATATAAAAAAACATGTACATAAAAACTCTGTATCAAACATTTACATTTTTATAATACTTACCTATATGTTTGATTTAAGTGTATTTAAGTATTGATTAGAAATAATTATATAAGCTCTTAATCCATATTTTTGTAAATAATTTAGAATAAAATAACAATAGTTGGATAACGAGCAAGTGTTATACATTTAAATTCATAGACGTCACTAAGAGGTACTTTGTTACCTCATACATTATTGTTTTTGTGATAGAAATGGCGTTGGATTGCCACCAAAAAAAAAATACTTAAGCTTTGAAAATGTACTAATTTTATTGGATATTAATTATTACTCATGTCTTAACGACAATTATTTGTTTTTTTTAGTTAAGTAAGATGTGACTTGTAGGTTGAATTCCGTAAAAATATCATGGTTAAAACAATTTATGATTGTTGAATAATGTTGATGTATACAAAATAATAATTATTCTGTAAAAAATGTATAGATTATATTTACATTTTAAAATTAACAATTTAAATTTAAATATTCACAATATAGTTGTAATAGCATGAAATTAACTGTATTTTAATAATAAGTGTTGAATATTGAATACGGATATAAATGTGCGACAATTATTTTTACTTTTGAAAAATAAACGTAATTTTTTTTATAGATAATTTTTTACGTGACTTACTTAATACTTAAAGACAATTAACATTAGTTAGTTAAAAAAAAAAAAAATCATCACTAAACTAAATATCCACCAGTCATATCAAGTTTGAAGTAGTGCCACTGGACACCCTCTTCTATTACAACATCAAGCCTTGTACAAATCTAAAACCATCAAAATTACCTACTGTATATATTTATTACAGATTGTATATTTTATCTTTTCTAAAAAAAAAAAGTTAAATATTTATACCACCTCGAAATTTTGACTATATAGTGACGACAATGTGTTTAATTCCTTTATTAATAAGTTATTACTCAATACTTTAAAAGCTTTATGGAAATTATAAATTTCCTTGGGAGTATTGAAAAAATATCATTTAATCACTTTTGGATGTGATTTTATAGGTATAGGACAGTGGTCGGCAACCTTTTTTGAAGGAAGAGCCAAAAGTTACAATATACAAAATTTTTCTGACTTTAAAGAGCCACTAAAAGTTTTCATAATATTTTTAAAATAATTCTATTTTTAATTTTAATAGGTATATTGTATAATAATACAATTTTACAGTTATTAATTAATCGGTTACATCAAGAGCGACACATTAATATCAAAATATATAAAGAGTTACATCAATGGGAATATTGGCTTTACAAGTCTTTTGAAAGTTTTGTTTAGTCTGGCTCATAAGTTGTTGTTTTAAGTATCAAATTATTGTTATGTATTATTTCATATTTTAAAAAGCATCAAAACTAATATAATAAAAAAAAATTTATATAATAAAATATTGTTTTTGAACATAAAATATTTTTGTATGGGAATTGGAGAGTCGCGACTTAAGATCCAAAGAGCCACATGTGGCTCGATGTCGCAGGTTGCCGAACCCTGGTATAGGATAAATTTTCCTTGATAAAAGTATTTTAGAAATATCATAATTCATAATAATTTAACTGTTCTTAGTATACAGAATTAGTATGAAATTTTTAAACAATTACGTATCTACTTTTAAATCAATGGATTCTATACGAAACTTCAAATACGACTTTTTACAGATGGTACCTCACACGAAAATAAAAAAATTTGATAATAACCTACWAATCTCATTGCTTGGTCAATATTTCTATACATATGTTGTAATGGGTCTAATGTTTCAAATTCAAAAATTCTTTAATTTCAAAAACATAATYAAAACTAATTTTATTTGATTACTTACTTATGTGAAAATATTTTTATAATGAGTGTTGTATTATTTTAGTTATTCAGGAAACTTGATTTCCGCATTAGTTTAATTACTATGTTGCTGTTGCAATTAAATCATCATAATATGTTGTTACCAACAAACCTACAATTTAATCTCCTCGCTACTATGCAATATTTTTAACAGGGACTTTTAATTATGATACTTAACATAAATTATTGTTAATATTGTATTATACYTACGCGTGAATTAAAGAAAAGAATATAATCGTCAAGACTAAATATATTTATTTATGAGTTAAATATATTCATTACGACCTGTGGCATTTCAATAAAATTTTGTAAACACATATTACCATTAATTTATTATACAGTAGGTAAAAATGTTTTATATTAATATACTTAATGGACCTTTGTCGGCTATTATCCTCATATGGATTATTGACTTATAATTAGTGTTGGATAATATATAGGTATGAAAAAATAACACATGTGACGGGCATGACAAGGCGTGACTTTAATTAGTCTATGTTAATTGTAGTACCTAATTTTTAGTTCACGAGTCTATATTACTATAAATTATGCAATGATAACTATTATAATAAATGTTGAAGTCAAACTTCACCATATAATTTATATAATATGTTGACTGTCAATAGTAAGTTAGTCCCTTGAAAATTCACGAGTAAATTAAGTTTTTATTTATACCATAATCAATAATTCAATAATCATTTTTAAATAATAATTACTTGTTAAAATATTGAAATAAAAATAAATAATTAACATGTATCACGCAATACATAAAATAAGTTTTTTCTTACTTGAATTTGCTTAATTACAAATTAACTACCTTATATTTAAGTATTTACGAGTACATTATGATAGACAAATATTTTTTACTGCCAAAAGTTATAATTAATAAGGAAATGGAAGGTAAAAATAATTAGAACCCGGACACGAATATTTTAAATATGTCTTATGTATGACTGAGTGAATAATTAGTATACTGTAAATATGCATATTATATTTTATTTTTTATTGTTTAAGAGAAGTGTGTTCTGTAATTATTAAACTCCTGCAATGTTTTCTTTTTTTTTGTTTTCTCGRCAGTAAAAACCTTCATCAATATATATTTTATTGAAAAAGTAAGAAAAATGGTATGTACCTACTATTAYGAGGACAACTAATACATAATTTTAATAGCGTTTTAATCCTTGTAACAAGCTCCACTAACTTGCTGGCGTTATCATTCCTAAATCACGTTTTCCCGGCCTCCCGGGTACATTAGTATAYGATATACGGTATGTGCATAAATGTATAATATCATAGCACATATTATGTATTTTATTGTTTGAGAATTTCATGAAATGTGTGAATATTTCAGTATTATTATACATATAAATTAATAACTAGGTATATCATTATTTTTTAAATTAAGTTTTATTTTTACGTATACCTAATTGTCATAACTAGGGAAGAGAAGTTATAGGATTTGCATGTTTTATTCTGGGCCTCTATTTTATAGCAAACTAAGATATAAATATAATTTATAGGCCCACAGTTGAAATCTAAAATTTTTTTTGCATATTGAATATTTTAAAGATTTTTAAGATTTAAAAAAAATGCATATTTCGTTATTTTGTGCATATTTCATGCATATTCTACATAAAAACTGTATGGTATTATTATAATATACTGTATAGTATACAATATACATTATACATACATTGTACACCACMCGATGGCCGCGCGTGTAGACTATGTATAATGTACTATATTATAGGTACCCACATATTTTAGGTGGACATTCGGATAATGTAATCGAAGAGTTGATAAATAATTAGTAGCAAAAGGAAAACAAGTATTTTTAAAAGGGTCGCTGTAAATTGCGTCCCCTTTTTAATTTTTTATGTAAATTGCCGCCCGGGCATATTACCTACACGTTGGGGTTCTTGGATTGAAGCTACTTCTTATTACTGCCAATATTTTAAGCAAGTAGGTATGAGATGTTATGCATCATTTTGATTCTAACGATGCTGTATCTATAAAAGRATTTCAAGCCCTTCTAAATTAAATTTCAATGGAACCAAATTTGACTTTTCAAATTATGGGTTTTTACCGAACACCAAAGGCTCACCACTCGCAAACAGTTTGCAAAGGCRCATGTTCTGATATATATATATTTATATAATATATCATACATTTTCTTATAAAATTAGAAACATTTTTCTTTTCAAAAAAATAGTGTCAGTGACTTCAATCACCACACTCAGTAGGATATTCAGATTTTAATTTTGTTTAMATTTTCTATACTTTAGTAGTGTACTTTTTTCATATTCTATATCAATTTATTTCAATTTGAATTATGAATATTTGCTCTTTTTGTGAGTAAATTTGTTAGTAAAAATATAATAAAAATCAACAATATTGTCAAAGCATAGATACTTTAGTAATGAATTCAAATCTATGTTTAAAATTAAAAATAGAACATTATGCATTCTTTATTTATTATTTTCTAAGTAGTATATAGCTCTTGGCTATTGGCTAATGAATATTTGTATCAATCAAATAATTCATAATTATAAAAAAATTATACATTACGAACGATAAACGCTCCAAACAAACGAATCGAGTTGGTGTAATTATTTAGCGAAGGTCATTGTCACGGTTAGGTCAAACAGTCAGAACTTACTATATAGTATTGCAGCATTTCGCTGACAGATAGAATAGACAGTTGAAGCGGTGGCGAGTGTGAAATGATTATTATTATTATATAATAATAATTTGTAGTCTGTTATCACGAAATCTGATCTCCGTTTCGTGTGTTTGATGATATATATTATATTCAATTTATTTGAAGGTCTACTCTTTGTAGATGCTTTTAGAGCAATTTTTGTTGAGAGTTTTTCATGTTTTGGTGTATATTAGAATTAAAGTTAATTTTTTGCAAGAATGCGATGTATATCACGGCAAGGTGTATAGTTTGTAACGAATTAGTTGCATACGATTAAAGTTTCAACAAAAGCGTGTTGATTATAGTTATGTTGCRGAAATTACTTTTCCAGTTTCCTATAAATTATAATTAAACATAAGTCGTCATTACTGAGTAAATTTTTTATTTGCCTCCTGTTCCTCCCCTCTTGCGCTCCTAAAAAGCTACAAAATACATTTATTATGGTAT